CTGGAACGTATCCTACCCACCCACCCCAAAAAAGAAGGGGATAGCTTACGATGTAAACATATTAAAGATGGCATATAATTTTATTTCTATTGAAGCATGGTTTTCATAAGTGAAAGATGATGTTATTCAATGAATGACACAAGCATACTCGGAGGAAAAGAAGTCCAAGTGCTACCAGTAGGAGTGGAACCTTTGACCTTTTTGCTCTAACCCTGAGCCATGGGAGAATCGTTGCAAGCTAAGCCGTTTGTTGATGACATGCCTCACCCATACTGTTAGGATAAAAATGTCGAATGGGATGCTTGTACGCAGTGCTGATGTTAATAAAAGAGGTAAATTTTAAGCCTGGCTATATTAAGAGAAAGATGAGGTGACGTTATTCAGAGAATGACACAAGAATACTCGGGGGAAAGGAATATAATGTTCGGGAAAATCGATATTCACGTATTCATGTTCATTCACGAACAAAATCCTTTCCGATTGTAAACATAGAGAGCTCTTCCTCTCCGAGAAACTCTTTTTGATGTGAAGGTACAAATTCAGTTTGAAAACACTCGGCAATTATAAAACAATTATAAAAGAGCAAATGAAAGTAATGATTAGCGATTAAACTCTGTCACCTGATAGCGTTTTAACAAAACTGAATATTAATATGGTTACCTCACGAGCGATCGGTACTAGTGTGGCCGCAATACTTATGCGTTTGAATTTCCGTCCACGATGCAGATGTGATTTTCCTGGAACCAAAAGATGCCAACTTGAAAATGTTGAAAATAACGATGAGAATTTTTTAATGAAAGCCTCTTTCTAAACTGCATTAATATTGATTTTTAAAATACCTGAATTAGAGTCGATATGACAAAACGGGATTTTTTTTGACGCACTGCAGGTCAACAAATCGAGCCAAAGGTGAAGCGCACGAAAACTAAAATCATTAGTATGCTAAATTCTGAATTTGTGCTTGTTAAACTGTAATTGAAAAACATGCAAATACAAGAAAATACGAAATAGGAAATTACACAACACCCTTTGTTTTGATTGGACTGACAGTGTCGGGATGCGTTAAGATAATTCTTGTTATTCAGTTTCCGAGGAAAGATCTACAATTGTAGCTTTGAACAACAATAAGGGGCTATGTAGTAAATGATGAGACTACTGCAAAACAAAAAGTCAGCGAGACATTACAAGTAGATGGAATGACAATCAGGGGCACTTTGATTAAAAATGATTCGCCAGAAGTGTTTTTAAACTGCGGTGTGATGTCTATGGCTCAGTTAGTGGTATTTATGTTTTCTCATCGACAAACAACATAGGAAACAAAGAAATCGAAGTTCAATCTGTGGGTTTGTTTTGGAGTTTCACGAACATCATTGTAAAATGCAAATAATACGTCGTTGGCATCATTAGCACAATTCTCTATTCTTTTTCTTAACAAAGTCCACCTTTTCGCACGGAAATGAACCTTACGACACA